AAAAGAAGAGCTAAGAAAACGTTAATATCAGTTCTTAGAAAAAATATAACTGTTCTAAATATCAGTCTTCTCACTTTTAAAATAGAGATAAGAATCACAGAAGCCTCAGAAAGTTCTTGTAAGAATTGAATGTCATCTAACAAATATTTATTGAATGACTGTATGTTCTATGCTCTATACTTAAAGCCCTTAGCTTTGCATTTGAGGGCAAGGTCAAATGAGAATCTAAGTTTCTATCTGGATGATGGTTCATCTTTTTCTGTAGCTCATGAAGGACTTTTGAAAGTCTAAACAAATAACTAGAATTCTTACCTGTTCTCTTTCTTGCTGCCTCAAAGAATTCCAATGGATCCATCAAAGAAAGCCTGATTTCTCTTCACAAATCATGCTACCATTTTTCTCAAATTTCTAGATTTGCTGAAGAATTCAACGAGCCACTATTTCTGTTTTTGTCATTGTTGTTTGTTTGTTTTTTAATTTGCCAGAGGGGTGTGTGTGTCCTGGAGAGAGACGAGAAGGGGGAGAGTGAAAAATCATGCCCTATGATGAGGGATGGTCATGCCACAATCCCCTTATCCTCCATTTGTTCCTCCTTTTGAGATTTCAGAAATGCACACACATGCCCCAGTATGTTTTTCAAGTCACCAAGTCTGGGTCTCTAACCACACAGTTGGCCATGTGGGATCCAACCACCTCAACCATCAACCACTAGCTTACTCAAATTGCTTTGTTCACCCCTACCTTCCATCATCTGAATTGAAACTCAACAGCCATAGCTGCTTATATCAATTACATACATTGTGATCACTATTTCACTTACAAGTAACTTCAAAATTCTTGGATAAATAGTACTGACTTCTAATGATATGTCTACCTCTAGCCATCCAACTTAGTTGAGTCCAAGACAGTTTGGGACAGAATTTCAGTAAATCAAATAATCTCAGTGTTGAAAGAGCTATTCAGATGAACTAGCTCAACTTCTAATCTTCTGACTCTGCAAATATTGAGGTCAATTCTCTGATCTCTCTTTTCATCTCTAAGCATAAATTTTGAATCTTGATCATTAAATGTTACCAATGATTCTCTGTTTTCTTACTTTGGTAATCTTAAAGAAATTGTAATTCTAATTTTGGGCACACTTTAAGATACTTTCATTTTTTTGACCACCTCATTTCTAAAAAGTTAAAGTTTATTTTCGAATAAAATTTTCAGAATACAGCTGTGAAATATGTGAAGCAGTTATAGAATAAATAGACAAAAACCACAATTATAGTTGGAGACTTCCATATCCTTCTCTTGACAATTGATAGAACAACTGGACAGAAAATCAGAAAGGGTATAGAGATATACAAAGAACTGACTTATATTTTGGAAATAATCTTTGACCTTTTGAAAACATTTGTCAATTTACTAGCTATTGTTTTAATGCCATTTGACTTCCAAAACAGAAAATCACAAATTTGCTTTAGTCTTTTTCTTTAAAATACAAGCAATATTCTCAGTGCCTTATATTTATATTTACGCATCCACTCACTCATTCAACAAATATTTATTGATGCCTACTAAAGTCAAGACATTGCATTGGGTGTTATGATTGATGTCATTGTTTTTACATGTTTAATAATTAAACATTAAGGGGTTATATATTTAGCAATAATATGCAGTATGAATAAAATAAACTATTAAAAGTCTGACCAGGCTGCCATATCAAAATACCATAGACTAGGTGGATTAAACAACAAAAATTTATTATCTCACAATTCTAGAGACCAGAAGTCTCAGATCAAGGTGCCAAAGGGGTTGATGTCTGATAAGCGCTCACACTTTAGCTGCAGAGGCCACCTATATCCTCACATGACCTTTCCTCTGAGTACATTGGAAAGAAAGAGATCTCTTTTGCTTTTATAAAGCCACAATCCTATCAGACTAGGGTCCCATACTTATGACTTCACTAAATTTTAATTATGTCCTAAAGTCCTATCTCCTAATATGGTCAGATGGGCAGTGGGAGTTTCGACATATGAATTTGGGAGAGGATACAATCCAGTCCGTAAGGACTAAATCTGTTAACAAACATCCTTTACTTCTTTTAGACGCTCTCCTCTGAGTAGTATTACGGACCTACAGTCCTCACCAGCATGAAATAAATAAATAAATAAATAAATAAATAAGAAGGAAAGAAAAAAGAAAGAAAAAGCATGCGGGCGCATACACACAATCCAAACAGAGCAAGTAACTTGCCAGAGGTCACAGAGTACATGGAACAGAGGCAGTAGCAGAAACCAAATCTCCTGGCTCAGCCCAATGCACTGCCTCTTGGTCTGGCCTTGGATCAGAGAATGACTGCTCTGTAGCATTCAATTAAGCTGAGCATCTGTCTTAGCGGGGAATGTTTCTACCCTGTGGACTCTTCCTCTTCCTCCTCTCCCCAGTCTCCGATTCATACAATATCACATCAGAGTTTCCAAAGAAAATCTCCTGCCGGAGAGTCCAAAACTAGCTTCCTCTTATGAGTACTGAGTTTATCAGAACCCCTGGGAGTTATTATTATTCATGATATAGGCCCTTACAACGTAAATAGACTCTATATAATCTGTTGCCCTCAAACCCAACAGATGGGTACCATCTCTGTACCATCTGTACCATCTCTGTCTTTTGAAGGGAATTACATTTTGCATTAGAGAAGGTTATCAAGGCTATTGCCTCAGCTGGGATGTGCATCCTAATGAAGGCATATTCCCAACCATCATGTGGTTTCCTTTCTATCTCCTACCTCAGGCGCTCTCTCCTTATGAGTTGAGGGCTAATGTGCTACAAAAGACCTTGAAACACTGACCAGCAGACCATTAGCCTCTGGTTCAGGCTTTTCCACTCACATAAGAAGCTTTCTCTGAGGGTTAGGACTATAATTATTTCTTCCCACAACAAGGATTCTAACTTCAGGCAGATGTACAAAGGCGTTGTCCCAGTGCTACCAACTAGGCAGCCCTTCCTCTCCATTCCCCTGCTATTGGACACGCTCTCTCTTCTTTCTTCTCTTTGTTTTTGTTTGTTTGTTTTGTTTTCCCTCTTCTTCTCCTTCGATTTTTAAAACCTTAGACTGCTATTATTTAAACATCTTTGCTACTTGGTAGCTTGCGATGTCATTGCCACAGCTTAAAAAGACATCGCAATTAATTGACTGGTTGGTTGGTTGGTTGGTTGACTGAGTAGACTTTTCTGAGCATAATACTTGGTTCAGCAATACAAGAATCACAGAATCTTTGGGTCAGATGTGCTAATTCTTAACATTAGGAGAACTTAAAAAAAAATACTGATGCCTTGGCCTCACCTTCACAGAGTCTGATTTAATTTGGTCCTGGTCCCAAAGCTGTCCAGGTGATGCTCATGGGTAGCTGGGGTTGAGACTCTCTAGAGAGGGTTAAATGGTTGCCCAGGCAACCATTGATCTGCTACTTAAATCATTTCCATTGGGAAATCTAAAATTATGTCTCTTTTTGAATCTAAGAGTCTATGTAATAGTATCTTCCAGAAAATGTTCCTGGGTATACAAACTCTGCATTGCTATAGAGAGTAGCAGCAGGTAGTGGTTAGTAGTAGAAAACAAGAATCCCCCCTCAAAAATCCAGCCGTTCTTAGCTGTGGTTCCTCCTGCTGGCAGAGAAATATCCTCCAAGGTTAGTAGTTTGAGACCAGGGGAAACACATCCTCCAAGTGACATTTGAGAATGTCTGGAGACATTGTTGGTTGTTACAACTTGGAAGAGTGTGCTACTGGCATCTAGTGGGTAGAGGTGGGGGATGCACCACACACAGGACAGCGCCCCACAACAAAGGTGCAAGATGTCGGTGGTGCCAAGGTCGCTGAGAAACCCTCTCCCAGATTTTTGCTTTCAGGCTCCTTCGCCTCCTCTAGGAGATACCATCCTTCATGGAATTAGTCCTCAAGCATTTCCTTCTCTCTGACTCATGGCTTCAACAATGCTTTTCAAATCAGTATTTTGCACCCTTTTAAAATAGTATCAGAATGTGATCCTCCTCCTTTGCTTTTAAGAAATGAAGGCTGTTGCCTGTGCATGTCAGAGAGGCCGCATAATCCCAGCGCCTCCTTCGCCCAGCTGGCTGCCTTTCTGAAATACAGAATACGCTGAGCTCCAGCACCTGAATGAGGCCCTGCCTACCTGCCTTGACGGTACTCCACAGCCAATGGAGCAGCCCTTGGGGTGCAGGTCATTCCATGGGATACATCCCAGGCCTATTGGGTTTTTTAGCTGCCAGCCTGGCTGGGTCAGGCATGCTGCCAAGTTGATTAATAAGTGCTGGGCTGACACTTTGAGTAGAGACTGGACCTGCTGCTTTTTTCTCCCCACTTCCTTAGATCATTTCATTATTAAATTAAAGATTGTTGTGATTTCAACTGAACTGTCAGGCAGCCTGGGGACAAACGCAGCGTTTGGTGAAGAAACTGAACGTTACTGAATCCCATCCCAGCTGGGTGCTTTTTCTTTCTGTTAAAGAAATAATTCAAAACCCCAAGGGCTGGAAGTAGAAGTAGAACCTTCCCCTGCAGTGTCAGGAGCCCACACAGAGAGGCTGCCGTGCCAGGAAAGGGAGCTGAGTATAAATAGCATGAAAAGCAGCATCAGTCAAAACTCACTGATGTGCCTCAGCAAAATGTTAAAAGAAACAAACAGCTTCCTAAAGAGGAAGCAAGGACTTATATATAAATATGAAGTGCTAAGGGACAAAGACAGTTTATGTTCGTATAGGTTTAAATATGTACACATACGTGTGCACACATGCACACACGTGCACATGCACACACAGAAACAGAGCCCCTTTAAGAAAATGATGGATAATCACTAATTTTAAAATAAAACCACAAAGGGCCTCATAGGGGGAGTAACTGTCCTTTCTCTTCTGTCTTACTAATGCTTTTTATGTAGAAGGTCTATGGTGTCCCCTTGTGAAATCATTTTTCTATGCGTGTATTTTTTCCAGCTTCGATGGAAACCATTTGAGATTCCAAAAGCATCTCAGAAGAAAGTGGACTTCGTGAGCGTAAGTCAATCCTACCCACACCTTCCCACCGTGCTCTGCTCCCTCGGTGAGCAATCCAGCCACTTGCAGGCTGAATGCCAAGCAGAAGCAGCCTTGCTTGGAGGCATGGAGACAAAGCCACCTGTGTGTGCCCTGGGGGCTGGCAGAGAGATGTCTTACTTACAGCCACCATATAGCCCTTGGCACTCAACGTCTCAGAAAGTCCAATAGAAATTGACGTTTTCTGCCTCAAGCTCTGTGCTTGCCGCTAAAACAGGGGCTCTTCACCTTTTTGTTCCACAGACCCCTTGAATAGCTTGGTAAAGTCTGTGTGTTTAAACATACAAAGCAATTTACACAAAATGACAAAGAAGCCAATTATATTGAGATACATGACTAAAATATTTTTTAAAACAAATTTGGTTTTGTTTACAGTCTTATATTGACTATAAATCACATCAATATTCTTATCGATGTAAAACTAATCATAAGATCTATGGAAAAGTCAAATCTCTGTTACAAGTATGAGCATAAATGCTATTTTGAAATATCTATAAAAATGGTAATCTGATATAAAAATACCCATGCTTTCTATTATTGACAAGATTACCGGCATTCC